TCAGATACTCAGATATTTTATTGGGTTTTTTAAGGTGCCACTGGACTCAAATTTTGTTCTGCTACTGCAGACTAATGTGGCTATCCACCTGAAACCTATTTTCTGTTGGTGACTCATTTCCACTTCTACCTAAATTGGGGTCTCCAAGTTTGTTGAACCTGGAAACACACTTAAGAAAAGGTAACAGGTAACATCACAGAAGTGATTGCGACCCACGCGCTCCCCCCCATGTTTGGCTGCCATGGGGGGGGGCAATGTCCACCCACATTAATACAACAAAGTAGTGGTGCATCATTCAACCTTTGAAATGAAGCTGAATCACTGCCCTTAAGATGTTGTATGTGGGAGGGGAAGAACAGCAGCCGATAGGCTGGACTAGCCAACTCCTCTTCCCCCTTTTGGAATAAGATTCTGGATGGACAGGCTCTTTAGTTTTCAACAAAAGTCTTTCTTTTTTTTTTGTGAAGTACATAAACGTAAGCCAACATGACTTTGCAAAGTGAGAGCCAGCATGGTGCGGTGGTTAGGGTGTCAAGCTAGGATATAAGAGATCCAGGTCTGACTCTCCACTGTGCCATGGGACTTTGCTAGGTGACCTTGAGCCAGTCATATAGACTCAGCCTGCCTTACATCACAGGGTTGTTGTGAAGATAAAACAGAGGAGAGGAGAACAGTGTAAGTCACTTTGGGTCCCCATTGGGGAGAACGGTGGGTCATAAATGAAATTAAAAACAACTTTCCCCCCCCAAAGCCCTACTTTCTTTCCCCTTCCCCTTTGTGGGTGCCTACAGCCATTACAAATTCATTTCACATTCATTTCAAAAAGGGGGAACACTGCTGCTAACCAGCAGGTTTCACCTTTGAAAAATGACAGGTGATTAGAACAAATTAACCATGTTTGTGGGGTGGGGAGGGTCGCTGTTCATTTGTACATGTTGCTATTCAGATGGCTTCAGTGCTTCTGGAGGCTTCTGGAGTCACTTGGTCACTCACTGGGTTGTGAGGAGACATTCTTACACCTTTGTCTGCAGGGCCCAGCTGGGTTGGATTGGTGCTGTGAGAAAGACCAAAGTTGGATCCACTCTGCAAATGGAGGTGTGGAAGTGCCTGGCCAAGTTGGCTCGGTGCTATAAGAAGAGATATTCCACGCCTTCTCACTCAGCATCCTAGCCAGGCCCAAACAGTACTGTAGAAGGAGGTGTGTGATCTCTCATCTCAGAGCCCCCAAACTAGGCCCATACTGAGTGGGACTCTCTGCTGGGCAGCAGAACATAGAATCATAGAGGTGGAAAGGAACTCCAGGGTCACCTAGTCCAACCCCCCCTGCACAATGCAGGAAATTCACAAATACCTCCCTCCCCTACGCCCCCAGTGACCATATTCCATGCCCAGAAGATGACAAAAAACCTCCAGGATCCCTGGTCAAACTGGCCTGGAGAAAAATTGCTTCCTGCCCCCAAATTTCTCTGGGTGTGTAATAAAGGGCCACTGATAAAGCACTAATGCAACCCTTCCTGCCCTCCCTCTCATGATCTGCCTAAGTTCACAGAATCTGCACTGCTGTCAGATGGCCATCTAGCCTCTATTTGAAAACCTCCAAAGAAGGAGAGGCCACCACCTCCCGAGAAAGCCTGTTCCACTGAGGAATCACTCTGAGGAATCACTCTGTCAGGAAGTTCTTCCTAATGTTTAGCCGAAAACTCTTCTGATTTAATTTCGACCTGTTGGCTCTGGTCTGACCTTCTGGGCAAGAGAAAACAACTCTGTGCCATGTTGTATACGACAGCCCTTCAAGTACTTGAAGAAGGTTAAAAAACAAACCAGTCAGACAATGTTGTATATGACAGCCCTTCAAGTACTTGAAGAAGGTTATCATATCATCTCTCAGTCGTCTCCTCTCCAGGCTAAACATACCCGGCTCCTTCAAACTTGTAAACATGTAACCCCCCTTTCCATTGCCTCAGTTGCAAAGTGTGCTAGCTGAATGAGCAAGCCAACAGGCAACCACCCAGCTTGTCATAAAATGGCACTGCCCACTACAGTTGCACAAGTGTGGATTAATGTTGTCATTGATTTCCTGCATTCTTTGGAAGGGCAGGGAAGCAGCGCCAGGTAAAGGGATTACAAATGCTGCACAACACAACAGCCTCTACCGAATTGTGTTACACTATCATTAAGCCAGTTATTTTCTATGCCGTGTCAGATAGAAGGGTTGGCTTGAGAAAATACATGAGGAGATGATAGCAATAACTTTGCTTCTGCCATATGAAGCAAAATGGAAGCATACTCACCCTATTAAGATGTAACACTTAACCATTTATTTTCCTTAGGCATGGTTATGCATTACATATGGTCCAGAAGCTAAAATACAAAAACCATGGCTTCACATGGGTTTTGAAACCATGATTTGCCTTATCCATAATAACAGGTTGTAACAAACCATAGCTAAGGTTATTTATGAGGGTTACCAACCTCCAGGTGGGGCCTGGATATTTCCTGGAGTTATCACTGATCTCTTGGCTACTGTAATCAGTTCCCCTGGAGAAAATGGCTGCTTTGGCGGGTAGATAGTATATGGCATTATATCCTGTATCCCTATATCCCAGGCTCCACCCCCAAAATCTCAAGGAATTTCCCAACCTGGAGTTGGCAACCTACAATTTACTCGCAAGGGTGCATAAGGTTGCAGTAGGGCTGGTTCATAGCTTAACCATCTATCTGTGGTGCCATGACAATAGAGGGAAGTGGGTTTTTTAAAAACAAATTCCTGGATATTAAATCAAGTTGTTAGGACAGTAACCCTTGGGATTAACTTTCTTCTCATTTTTAACATCAGTACTCTACCTGTGGTGCTCCAGACTTCTGCTGTGATGTCCTTTTTGTTGTGGTCTTGCAGGTCATTTGAGAGCTTACCATGTTTCAAGAACCACTGTGGTCCAGTGAGTTCCCTGTGCCTCCTTTATTATAATTGATAGAGCGTCATGGGGCCTACTGACTTTGAATTGTCACTTATCATGTTAGACATCTGTGGGAATTTCTAGCAGGCATAGGAAACCCTTTTCATACATGTTGTTATTGCTCCTCAATATATTAGGGTCTCCCAGCAGTTAGCTTGTGAGCTAATGGTGGCTGGCTGACTGCTGCAAAGCAACTTGTGCATCTCCTAGAAGACCAGGGGAAAATAGCAAAAAGGTCTGCTCTTTACAAAGTTATTTTTCGTAGGATTTTTCTCTGCACCGCTTGACTGATAGCTTGATTTCTGGTGGTCTACCTACTCCATGTTCTTTTACCAGGACAGAACAAAACTTGTTGACATGGCTGGAGGGGGGAGCAACTCAGGATCCTTTCCATTGCTCAGGGACAGTGAAAAAATTGGGTTTGGTCAAAGGGGTTCAAAGGAGGCAAGTAACACCTAATTCCTTTTTAGAAGCTTAGGTCTTGATTTGGTTGATCTTGATCAAGGAAAGCATCTATCCCTACATGAATTCAAGACACTGACCCTTGAACAAAACAAAACTTATATTTTATATAAACAAAATTACATCATTATAGAAAATTAAAACATCAAATTATTAACAGCTCAGTACTGCACCAAATGAAAACCAGTCAGACAATGCCATCCGCTTCCTCTTTCAAGACCCTTAAGACTCTTCCTTAAAACTTTTCAAGACTTCTGCTAACTTGTTTGTCTCACACTAAACTGTTTTTCTTGCATAAATATTTGCTAGCAAATAGGTTAATACTGCTGACAAGCTTATTTTAACCTCTTAGCTAAATAAAATACGGGTTAAAAACATTATTTCCCTAACTCAGCAACCAACTTGGTACTTGCATGGCTAGTATATTTCTATTATGGGTTGCACTTCAGCATTCTGAAATGGCTGGGCTCTGACCTCTTCTCCTTGACATTTTCTTCTTAGTCAGCAGTACTTCTCATTAAAGTAAAGGTTGGTGACCCCTGCAATATATGTAACTCAGAGAAGTAGAATGTCAAATCTTGCACTTCAAAACTCAGCTCGTTCCCCCCTACAGAAGAGGAGGGAGCATTTCGAAAGTGCCAAGGTCTCTTATCACTCGCAGTACCCAGGACAGCTGTGTGGTGTACCATCACGTGAGACATCTGCTTGCAGATAAATGATTGAGCTGCTTCTTTGAATTGACTGCCACTGCAATGGGCTGATAATGTTTGAATATGAAATGCGAGCTTATTTATGTTATGCTTAAATCATGTGCTTCTGATATTTCATCCCCCCCCCAAAAAAAATAATCTGATGGAATTATCCAAGAGGTAACTGAAACCTTAAATTTGTGTGGGGGAGGGGGACAGATTTCAGTGTCACGTGACTTTTATGACTTAATCATGCAACCTCTGGAAAACTTCTGTATGGCAAATATAATGAAAACTTTTTGTTATAGTGCATTGGAATCTGGTGACATTTCTGCACAAGCTGTCAGTGGAATAGGGAGGAGGAAAAGGAGATTTCTCTGTTCTCATTGCTAGCGATGGGCACAAACCAGCTGATGATCTCAAGTTTGTCATGAATTTCAGATGGTTCAGAGTTTATGAAGTGATGTTCACGAACTGAAGAGCCACCACAAACTTCTGTGGTAGTTTGTGAATAGCAGAAAGCAGGGGTTTAAATGGCTCTGAGCATTTTAAACCCCTGCTTTATGTTCTTCACAAAAAATGCAAAACGTGGTGGAGAGCAGAAAGCATGGGTTTAAATGGCTGATGGACCAATATGGTTCATGATTTGTGGTTGGGTTTGTGATTCAACCACAAATTGAACTGCAAAAATGTGGTTTGTGCCCATCCCTACTCATTGCAGCCTATTGTAATGTGGTGTGTTTTCCCCGTGATGGGCCCTTGGGATTTCCAGAGGCAGGGTGCTGGTAGGAAGGGATGGCAGGGGAAAAAACCTACTATTTCAACTCCTCATGCAATATTTGTTGCTGGGTACAACACCTGATGACACCTTGTAATAAGTTAAATACCCTAGATACACCGAAATATGGGTTATGAAATTCACTTTGCTCCTTGCATTTCAGGTCAATGGAAATGCCTCCTTAACACTCTCCTTGGCACAGACTTCTTATTGCAAGGAGAAGAGGTATGATCCTCAGAATCCTCTGTGTGCCCATGTGATCTTCCATGGAGTAGTTGAAAAGGTAAACTCTAATATTTATGCATCTCAAGAAAACTATACACACATGGTCTCCGAAGTGTAGAGTTGGCTTCATAATAGTGGTTCTGTAGTAAACAATACTGGCTTAGTGTTCTTTTCTTGAAATGACACATTTAGCTGGGGTGGGATCCCAGTTAATCCGCAAGTTAGACCTTGATGCATTGGCTATAAAAGGGTAGCAATAGCTGTCCTGCAACAATGGTCAAGAGATTGTCTGCTGTCTTCCCCACCTTCTCATATATGAATTTCTACTTCTGCCAACAATATTTGCTGTGTTGATATTCGTTTTTTTATTTAATTTATACTACAAACCTGCTTGGCCCTTAATTTTTACGATTTGTTTTAAATGTGTACTATTTGGTTTTAGGCCACTGAAGAAGGCTCTGAGAACTGAAATGCGTCTAGTCTAGTGGCTTTTTATGAGATATTCTGTTATGTGATTCATGTTCAGTTGACATGCAATTTCTATAGATTGGATCTTAGCACTCCTATGTATCTATATTGTTTTTCATTGTTAATTATTACACTGTGTAACAAATACTTTGTTATATTTTTAAGTTCGTTATACTCAACCTTCTGAGTACCCACCCTGTTGCTGTGCTTGGGTTTCGTCCTCCTTTGTTTTTTCTTTCAAGGAAGTAAGTCAACGATTCCATTAGAGCACTGCAAGCTCCTTGTCTGATGGTATGCACATCTGCAGATCTGTTTGTTTTCCCCCTGGTCTTTGGCCTCCTCCCTGACCCCCATGAGGGATGTCATAGGGAAGGATAAAATATTGTGGTTTGCGTAATCTGTACTTTGTTTGCTAGGTGACTGGAGCAGAAGCAGACTTTGCAAAGACTGCACTGTTCAGCAGACATACTGAAATGAAGGACTGGCCTCCCGATCATGACTGGTTCTTTGCCAAACTCAACATTGCCAACATCTGGGTCCTGAGCCATTTTGGGGGGATCGAAATGGTGACCCCCAAAGATTATTTTAATGCCACCCCTTAGTAAGTATCAAATTTCAGTGCACTTCTGGGGGGACTGGGCTTTTCAGCTGTTGATTTCCTGGTTCCATAGCACTTCTTCATGGAGGAGACTTTTTAAAGTGATCTCACTTGATCTTTTGGGAAGTTGCCATTACAAAAAGATCTCAATTGATTATCATCCAAAAAAAGTATTGCCTCCTCTTCCCCAAATGATTGTACTATTTGTACATTGTTATAATATACTTTTATTGTTCTGTTTATTTATTACACAGAGTTCTGGCCCATCTTAAAAGTGACGTAATAGTGCTGGGAAAGGAACAGCAACACAAACATATTAGTATACTGTATAGCTTCCGTGTGAGAGAATGCTAAGAGGTTATACTCTTTTTCACTTTTCATAATGGAGAAATATTTAAGGTGGTGGAATATCGGAAGGGTAAACCTATAAATGGTGTAGGAAATGTAAATAACAAACAAGGTCCTCAAATTAAAGGTCTTTATTATGTTGTGATTAGGAATCACATTGGCTCTCATCTTTGCCTCTACTAGTAAAACAAATGTTTGGCTGTTAATGGCAAAGGTTTGGAGATGCTGCCCTTTCAAAATTGGGAATCCTCAAAGTGTGGATGGTCCTTGCTTCAGATAGAGGAGACTAAGAGGGAATTGAGTACTGTTGAAATCTCTTCTTGTGAAGTGTGGTGAAAGCCCATGACTAGGATCCCACAAACAGTGAGTGGAGAGTGTGCTTCGAGTCTTTCTTGCCTCCACCTTCTCACCAGTGGCCCCCTGTGATCTCCAGGATCTGATGCAGGTCATTGGGAGTGAGGGAGTCTTGTGGATAAAATGCAGGGTTGACGTGAGGCGGGGGGACCCCCCTCTTCCTTTTACGTGAATGGAAAGATTGCCGTGCTTCCTCTGACAGAAGGGGATTTTACCTGACTCCTTCTCTTCACTGCAGACCCCCATGGTATTTTGTTCCCTACCCTCCGTTATGAGCTTTTGGTGTAGTTGGGAGATCACGGGGCTGCTGGGTAGGAGCAGGAAAGGATTGGGTGTGTTGCTGTGTTAATAGGCCCAAGGCCATGTTTCAAGTAAAGTAGATGCTTGATATGTTGTGGTGAAGCACTCAAGATATTGGGCACAGCCCAGCATAAGAACATAAGAGCCTTGCTGGATCACACCAGTGGTCCATCTAGTCCAGCTTCCTGTCTAACACAGTAGCTAACCAGTTCATCTGGAGGGTCAACAACAGGGCATACATGCCAAGGCCCTTCCCTTCATGTTGCCTCCTAGCTCTGGCATTCAGAGGTCTGTCCTGGAACTACTGTCCATCAGCTTCCGTGGATACTCCTGAGTTCTACTATTTTGGGAGAGGGATAAAAAGTTCTATTTGTCAACTCTCCCCATCCCATGGGAAAGTTAAGTAGTTGTAACCTCCTGGATTCCAATAGAGTTAGGGAACAAACGAAGCATGATTTCCTGTTGGAGGAACATTAAAGTGTTGTCCTTCCACTGGGTTATGCCCCTTAATTTAAATATAATCCAAAGTACTGCCGCCCAAGAGGTTTGTAGGGGGAAGTATCAAAATACTTAGAATGTATTAATGCCTGCATGCCAGTTTAATTTTCTTTTTACTCTTTGTAGTTGAGGAAGATTTTTGGATGAAATGAGTATCTGCCGAACAGCTTAGCATTTTGCAGCCCAAAGCCACAAATGCTGGTGAAGAAGAGAGAATTCTGGGATGCCAAATCTGTGCAGTCTTTTGAAGTCCCTGATGACATTGCTTATCCTGTACACATTCTATGCAACCAAGCTTTTCAAATCTATTAATCTACACACTGAAGGAATCCTGATTTTGTGCCCCAAGTATTTAGAGCACTGCAGTATGCATATGGTAGTGTAATTCAGTTTGCTTTTCCCTCAAAAAACTTATGTGAAGAAAAATGCCAATGAGGGCACCACACTACCTTGAAAGTCGAGCCACAGAAAAATGCAAAAGGAAGAAAGAAGAGGGGCAGGAATCAGGAAACCCCAAATTTAATGTGAATTTTCAGCATCACTTTCCTGGGAGTAAACCTCATTGAACAGATCTGGGTAAGATTTGGAGTAGACCTGTTTAGGATTCCTCTCTGCAGTGTAGCAATAAATGGGGCTCTGTGCTGTGGGCAAAAATCTCTGTATGTGCACAAATCAAGCAGATCTAAAACAGAGCTTGAATTTAGTCTACTTGTCTGCACAAATGTCTATTAATCTACACACTGAAGGAATCCTGATTTTGTGCCCCAAGTATTTAGAGCACTGCAGTGTGCATATGGTAGTGTAATTCAGTTTGCTTTTCCCTCAAAAAACTTATGTGAAGAAAAATGCCAATGAGGGCACCGCACTACTTTGAAAGTCGAGCCACAGAAAAATGCAAAAGGAAGAAAGAAGCGGGGCAGGAATCAGGAAACCCCAAATTTAATGTGAATTTTCAGCATCACTTTCCTGGGAGTAAACCTCATTGAACAGATCTGGGTAAGATTTGGAGTAGACCTGTTTAGGATTCCTCTCTGCAGTGTAGCAATAAATGGGGCTCTGTGCTGTGGGCAAAAATCTCTGTATGTGCACAAATCAAGCAGATCTAAAACAGAGCTTGAATTTAGTCTACTTGTCTGCACAAATGAATGATTTGTGTTGTCACAACTGACCAGCCCCACAATCTATTAGGGGATATGCCCTCGGCCTAGATTCAGCTACATTAATCTTGTGTATGAACACATACCTCTGTCAGGAAGACAAACTTGAGATTGAAAACTAGACATTAAGGGCTAGTGACATTTTTGTCCATGTAAACCTAGAACTGTCTCAGTCACATGGGAATGAGGAACTGTTAATCACATGGAAAAGGGCCATGTAGAGAAGTGGGACTGAACTCACTTCCTGTCTTTGCCTTACCTTCCCACACCCCTTTCCCCAAGGACTTTTTGGTTAGTCAGTTGCAACCAGAATCTGAAGAGAAAAGCAGGGAGTTGAGCTGTGGGCAAAGTTCCATGTTCCTTATCCTTGCATTTTTTGCTGTTATAAACAGACCATCAACACGTCTGGTTTGATACAGTATGAAGAATACCTGCTCAGCTGGGGACGTATCTGCACCTTCCTAATAACTCATGTCTGTAAACTCTGTAGGCTGACTTTCAACTTGCCTGGTGTTGATTACATTTTGGAACATAGTCTTTATAAACATCTGAGTGGTCCTCAAGTCTGACCTTCATCTGTGTTCTGAAGAGAAACTATCCAGTGGTGGAGTAAAACATGTCAAATGAGAGCCTGGCTACGATCTGTTAATGCTGTCTAGAAGTGCCCTCATATGCAGTGTTTGAAGTAGTCTACAAAACAGTGTTATGAGAGAATTCAACATTAGCCCCAATTGGCTGCAGTGCAGATGGCTCACTGCACCATGCCATCTGTGAGAGGGAGGATAGAGCCCAGAACTGGCTCCCAATCTCCTATCCTTTCTCACCAAGGATTTCCTATGTTACTGCTATGTTACTGGCTCCCATATTTCCACATGATATCATCCTATGTTTGTGCACAGGCTGTTAACCCATACTTTCCACTATCAGCATGAATACTTCCTTGTGTCTGAAGGGGTAACAGTGAAGGAGAAACAGCGTAATTATAGGACGTTGGTGAAACTAGTCAGTTATTCTTTTCATTTTTTGATGACCCCTGGCAATAATTAACAGAAGAAGAGACTGCTATGAGGGCAATTTCCTATAGAATCACACCAGCAGCCAGACATCCTGGTGTGGCAGTAGCCCTTATTTCCTATAGAATCACACCAGCAGCCAGACTATGACAGAAGGTCATCCTGGTGTGGCAGTAGCCCTTGATTAGAAGGTGAGCAATATTTGGATTCACTAACTCACACTTGCCTAAAACAAGTGGCAAAGCAAATTGACTCAGATGAATGCAGCATCATATTTGAAGTGGACTGAACAATAAATTATGTCACATCTTGGTTTGTATCATCTGATTATTTCTATCATTTGCAGATTTAGGTTAAAAAAAATCTGCCCATTATGGCATGATTGCTCATTAACCAAGTTATATGCAATCAAGAGAGATTTTGATAGTGAACTATAAAATACAAAGTCTGTATTATGGAAGCCTGTTGTCTTAGTGTGCGGAAGAGAACTCAGCCCTACTCTGGTCTTCCTTAATCGGTTCATGCATTGAGTGTACATGGTTCATATCATGGGCGAGCTTCCACCTCCACTGATGGGTATTGCTGTTCTATGTCAAGTCTCTCCTTTCCTTCATGTACTCATGAAGGTGACTAGACTCATGAGGAGCATGGGAAGAAAGATTGGACAGTTACTACAAACTTGTAAGTGGTAGCATGAATCCAGCCACTAAAACTAATAAACTGGCTCTGTTATGTAGTCCATTTTCCCACTGTTGTTTGCTTTGCTTTCTCTTCCACATTAGTCTGCCCCCTCCCCTGTGCAAGGCCACTATCATGATTGTCCACCCATCTTTTTAATTTTGGGATGCATGTGTGTCACTATTTGGGAATAGCTTAAAACTGAAATTCTCTCTCAATGTCCATGTTCATTGAATAATGGCATACTGGAATCTTTCTACCACACTTTCCATGCTTGTCTCTCTTTAATGAAGTAACTCCTCCCTACAGTTGGGCAAGATTTCTGTTTTGGGGAAAGCAATGGGGACAATCTCCTCTTTCCTTCCTGCTCTCTGAATGAATGAATTAGTTCCTTGCCAGAGTGGGCAAGGCTATAGGGTCCAATAAATCACCCCACTCCACCCCACCCAATTAGTTCCCTGCTAGGTTACAGCTGTATATCAGTTCTTGGCAAGCAAATTCCCCTCTTCCTGTATGTCAAAGAATCTAGGCTGGGGCTGTCTCCTCCATCCACCAGTGAACTGGTTCCTTGCTATGCTGAGCAAGACAAAGGGCCCAATTCCCTTCCCACTTTGTGTCAAATAATCTCTTTGCATTCCAGGTTGGATAGTTGGTTCAAGCACCATGGTAAAGGTAGGCATTTTCTTTGGTTACACTAATGGCAGTAACCATCTGATCCTCCTGTCTCCATTTGTACTGCTTACAAACTTCTGTTATATCCACCCCGCCCCCCGAAATAGCTAAATGTCTGTGGGGATCACTGAAAGACACATGTGCGCGCACACTCGTGGCTTTGTATGGTCATTCAGCAACAGCTCTGCTGTCTTGCTCAGTGCCCCCAAACAGAAAAAAAGTTCACATGACACTGCAGAGTGGGGAGGGATGAAGGGGTGTTCCTTTTCATGTGAAATATACTTGGCTGGGACCCAGGCGGGGCCCCTGGAGAAGTTTTTTTGCATAAACGGGGTCACCCGGGGAGAATCCACGGGGTGCTGCTTGGGTTTCCGGGGCCGAGCTGTGCTTTGGAGCCCGGTCAGGGTAGACGGTCGAGGCGAGTTGTGAGCCGCCTGCCCATGAGCAGTTCAGAAGGGCTGCG